TTCTGAACCCATTTCATATGAAGATTTTTGGCTTTTTTTCAGATCAGGAAGTGTTTAAAGACAATTTTTAAGTAAATCCTTTATTGTTCTGTAATATTATTGCATGTAGTAAAATAAAAAAAAATTAAACCATCCTCTCTCTCCTCACTTGTCAGTTTGTGAGTTAAGGCAGAATGTACAAATTTGTATAAGTATTTGAACAACTTTTTCATATCATCCAACTTACAAGTTTTTTAATGTCTAATGGGTTTATATACAGAGAATTCACGGGACAGCCAGGAGCAGAAAGTGTAAAAATCATTCACTGCATCCCTTTTCATTCCTGGATGCAATTCAAGGTACATTACATACATGAGTCAGGGTGAGACTTCATTTCCAATCTGGAAATCATGCACCAGACCACTATTGACCCAAAACTATAGAAAATGCATTTCATGTAAAAAATGGACTTAACCTGGTTTTATTTCAGGCCATTTAATTATTGTTTTTGTAATGTTTGTACATTTTAAAGAATTTTTAAATTTTATATTGTATTTATAAAGTGTTTATTATTAACATCAGTACTTTTTATATTGATTTTAATTGATTTTTAAATCTCAAACTTTGCTTTGAACAGTTATTGCTCATAGTTTTATATATAAACATCTTTAAATACTGAGAAAAGAAATTTAGATATTTACCTAACATTGAATATTAATTTAATGTTAGGTAAACATCTAAATTTCAATAAATAAAATTAATATTACATTAAATTAATATTCAATGCTATTCAAATGCTCTTATTTTTTATAACAACATTTAATGCAATGTTTACACTTATCTCAGAAATTGTTTAAATGTGATAACTAAATTGATTATGAATTAATAAATACAAGGGCTGATCACTTATTTTGTTGAATAATGCTAGATTTTTTTTTCCTTAATGTAATGCACTGTCTTCTTAGGATTTATCATACTTGAAGTACTCTCTTTTGACCTATATACAGTATCTACCATCTTTCTATCAATGAATCGTGTGCTTTCTTGAGTCTACTTTTGGGCAAATGTTGAGGCATTGTCATTATAACTTTGTGATAGCTCCTTATCAAATGTGGAAGTGCTTCACATCTGAAAAGGAGCTGTCATCAGTCATGAAAACGAAGAAATCACACAGGATTGAGTTCCCTGACTATGAAGAATGTGACAGGACCTTGGTTCCTATTGTAATATTGGCTACACAGTATTATCAGTAAGTGGTATCATATAGAGAAATTCTAGTGTTATCATGATGGAGAAATTATCATTTCACAATAATAACTTTAGGACATTTATCATAAATGGCAAAATGATGTTTTATTATAAGAATCTTGGCATGTGCTTCCTTGTTCAGAGTTTTCTTTGAGGCACAAAATGTGCAAATATAAGGATTCATTTTTGTTACTAAAGGTATAAAATAAGTGCTTGTCTGGTGACATAGCTTTAGTTTCAAAATTATAATCAATGACTATTAATATAAAATCTACAAACAAGTAACAAAATTGAGACTGTAGGAGCTGATCAGCATGTAATGAAGGCTGGTCATCTTCATAGATGAATATATTAGAGAGGTTGAGGCACGAGTTCAAACGTTAAATGTGTACGGGTAGCAGAAGTACACGTTACACGTTTCAAGTCCAAGTAAAAATCGTTGAGGCACACGTTCATAACATCACGTGACTCAGTGAACATCGCGCATTGACTCATGGGAAATAAGTTGAAAAAAATGGCGGAAGCAAAATAAATCATAATTTTTACCCCAAACACAAAAAAAATGAAGACGTTTAAGCCGATCGTGTACTCACCAAGCTACACGTAGCAAACGCCATTATCGACAGTCCAGAACTGCCAGATGGCGGCGCTCACCCGTTACCCGTACACGTTTTGGGCTAAATACGTGCGCCTCAACCTCTCTATTA